GTAAAGTATAATGTCTACAACCTACTTTCAAACAGTTCAGTAAAATGTGTGTTCATTGTGTGTGCATGTGCACAAAGGGAGTAAAATGGTCATTGGTGAATCAAGATGAAGGGTCTATAGGTGTTTGTTGTACTTTCAACTTTTTTGTGGGTTTAAAATTGTTTTAAATAAAAAGTTGGGGGAAGTCACTTTAGAGAAGTACAAGGTGAGAGAGAAGCAAAGACCATCAGGAGGCTGCTGTCAGTGAGGGACGCAGTGGTTGGGCCGGAGTGACAATGGTGAGAAATGGGTGGATTTGAAATCTACTTTCTAGGTGAAGCCAGCAGGATCCATGGACAGGTTGGCTGTGGGATGTGGAGGAGTCAAGGTGTCTCTTAGCGTTTTGTCCAGAGCAAGTGGGAGATTTGTGATAACTCTGACTGGAATGGGACAGCGCGGGAAGGGCCAGGTTAAGGGGAGGGGAAATGGCAATTCTGTTCTGGACATGCTAAGGGTGGGCATCCAAGTGGAGACTGGATTGGCAGCTGGATAACTGAGTTGGGAGTTCAGAGCAGAAGTTGGCTGAAAACATAAAACTTGGAATTATCAGTATGTGGTGGCACCCAAGCCATGGAACTGGATAGAACCCCGTGGGAAGCGAGTGTAGGTGGAGAACGGGGCAGGACTGAGCACTGGGGAACTGAAGCACGAAGACCGGGAGAAGGATCATGCAGTTAATTCGATTTTTCTTTTTCTGATTCCATGCTTACTGAGCAACCACCTGGTTATTATTAGACTTCCCATATAGGTCCACTCCCATAAAGGAAAGATTGGTCATATGGACTTGGGATATTCTAGTTCCTGGGACAGTTCTCACTGTAAATAAATTGATCACATTCACAAGTTTGCTTTGAGTCAGCCACTGAGACAAAGCCGGTCTCAGCGTGCTGACATCTGATGGTGAGTCTGCATAAGAGGGAGCCAGACCCAGGACTGTGGAAATTCCCCGAAGAAAAGAATGCCACACTGCTTGCTGGCATTGATCCTTAGCTCATAGTAGCCTGCTAAGGAGAATGTTTCCAGACTGGTGCTAAAACCTCAAGCCAGGTATAGCTAAGACAATATTCCCTCTGGGTTGTATCCCTCTTCTTTTGTCAAAATTCTATTGATCTGTCACTGTCTCTCTCATATAGTTTTTCTTCCATGCTGATCTTGTATTTTCTTAGATCAGGAACCTTATTACTTTATTACTACTTGGGGAGCATTCTCTATATGCTTGCTCTACATCTACTTTCAAAATTTTAATTTTTGAATAGGTAGTATTCAAAAGGTTCAAAAATCAAAATGACATACACACTGAGAAACTGCCTTTCCACCTCTTTTTTTTTTTTTGTGAGGAAGATCAGCCCTGAGCTAACATCCATGCTAATCCTCCTCTTTTTGCTGAGGAAGACTGGCTCTGAGCTAACATCTATTGCCAATCCTCCTCCTTTTTTTTTCCCCCAAAGCCCCAGTAGCTAGTTGTATGTCATAGTTGCACATCCTTCTAGTTGCTGCATGTGGGACGCGGCCTCAGCATGGCCGGAGAAGCGGTGCGTTGGTGCGTGCTCAGGATCTGAACCCGGGCCGCCAATAGCAGAGCGCGTGCGCTTAACCGCTAAGCCAGGGGGATAGCCCCCCACCTCTTCCTTATGTATGTTTCCTCCCCAAATCACTGACCCTACTCCTTTCAGTTTGTGTCAATAGACAGTTTAGGTTGTTACCAATCTCTTCCTATTACAAAGCTGCAATGAACATACGTATAATACCTATATGAACCATATACATATATATGTAATGTATGTATGTATGGTTTCTGAGCTGCAGTTTTTGTTTGCTCTGCTGTGCTGTGATGATGGGAAAGACATATTCTACTCCTTTTGGGAGGGAATGAGTAATTTCTGATAAAAGTTCAGGCTCAAATTGTATTCCTCTTCCCTCTCCCATTTAGCCTGAAACATGAATACCACAACACTTCCGTGATGAAATAGCGCCCCTGGCTACAGCAGCTCAGAGATGTTCAAGTTCACTTCTTTAATACCTATTGTTTTGGGGATAAAAATGGCTTGTGTTGGCTCAATGAGAAAAAATAAGAAGGCTCATAAAGGCTATTGGGGAAAATGTATTTGTGGGAGGTAGACTGACATGCAACTTCAGAAAACAGTAACTCAGCTGAGAAGTTAATGCACATTTGCCCTCTTCTCCCTCCCATGGTGTAGCAGATTGTATTTTCCAAAGACAGCTGCCTCAATATATCTCATTCCACATGCTCCTCCTATACTGTGACATTGACACGCTTCCCATCGAGTGCTGGGGCCTGTGTTCCCTCCCCTCAAACTTCAGCTGACCTTTGTGACTGCCTCAACCAACAGAATACAGCGGAAACTGTCTAGCTAAGTCCAGGCCACTCCCAGAACCACGAGAGGTAATAACATAGTGATTCAAGTCTACTAAGTTTTGAGGTTATTCATTACGCAGCAATAGAAAACAGGAACACGGCCTTAACTTAATCATCGACACATTTTCTTTGGTTTTGATTCTTTAATTTTTATTCAGATTTTACTGTAACTTTGTCTGCTCTTGCTGCAGGTCACTTCAAATCCTCTGTGGAAGAGGGTTTAAGTACAATGTCATTACATTTTTTAAGGTGCTCCTCTGTCTAACCCAGTGATGTAAACTCCCTGGTGTTATTCTGTAAATGAGAAGGATAACCCATGAAAGCTTTATCACCCTTTTTAAGGGATTTTTTTAATTAAAAAAAAAAAAAGATTGCTTTGTGTAGACCTGTTCTACATTTTCTGCACCTTCTCGCCCAAAACAGATCCTTTGACCGTGAGAGGTTGATAGAAATAATTACGACTTCATCTGTGAGGACCAAATGATTAATTCATTCAAGAAACAGTTCACCAGTAGACACATATTGGCTGTTATTGTGTGTCAGACATTAGACCAGGTGCCCTACATACAAAGACCCAGTCCCAGCCTACAAAGCAGCTTCTGGCCTAGAGATTATTTACAGCTGTAAAACGCCTACCATATGCAAGGCATACCTGGAAAAGTCTTTGAAAGCCTTCAGTTATGGAGGAGTATTTAAAACAACAACAACAAAATAAAGCAAAACTGTCAAATGACCTGACAAAAAAAAAGGTGAATGAAAAAAATTATACAGCAATTTTACAGTAGGTTCACACATCTATGAATTTAGTAAGAGTTAATTTATTCTCTCCATATTCACAGAAATGAAATGTTATCATATGGCATAAACCTTACAAAAATTAAATTATATTTAATGTAACAGATCATGAGATATTGCATGACAGGATGTTACAGTTTCTAATACATTATTAGTTATCACTTTTTCAAGTTTAACTGTAATTAAATTTTTTATACGTTTTCCTAAACTTAATCTCAACCCAAGTAGTGTCACTATCTATCCATTAACCTCTGAGGAAAGGTGCACAAAGGTAGGAACCATATCTATTTGTTTACCATGGTATATTCAGCATCTGGCACATAGTAAGCACTCAGCAAGAATTTACTGAATTAGTACACTGGAAACGTATATTTAGGAGAATGGATTAAAGATAACAGTTTTATTCAGTAAGCACTTCTGAATACTTGGTACAAGGCATATCTCATTTTATTGTGCTTCGCTTTATTGCACTTTGTAGAAGACCCCCCACTAGCAAAAAGATTATGACTTGCTGAAGGCTCAGATGATGGTTAGTATTTTTTAATTTATGTACAGTTTTTTTAGACATAGAGCTAGTGCACACTTAATAGACTGCAGTATAGTGTGAACATATCTTGTATGCACTGGGAAACCAAAAAATTCATGTCACTTGCTTTATTGCGATATTCGCTTTATTGCAGTGGTCTGGAACTAAAACCGCAACCTCTCCGAGGTATGCCTGTATCAACACAGCACTGCCTTGAGTGCTACAGAACTACTAACAGTAGAAGACACTGTCCTTATCCACAGCTAGACGTACAGTGTTACTTACATTTATAAACATTTAAAATAAAATATAAACATTTTAAAATTCATATAGAAATACATAATTCTCAAATTATTTGTTACTATTGAACTCTGGCTATGCACCAGACACATGAAAAACCAGCAAATACTTGAATTATTTTTACAAGTTCTTAGGGGTCAGGAGGAAATGAAAGTATAAATTTCATATCCTTTCTTGAATAAACTTTTAGCTACAGAAATGAAAATAAGTTCACAATGCACAAGGTCATATTTCTGGTAATACATACTCAATGGTGTATGGATGGTGAAAATCGATCCAGGCTTTTCCACATGAAATGAAATAAACAAGGGCCATATAAAAGTAAACACTAATTTATATGCTTTTTTTTTTTTTTTGGTGAGGAAGACCGGCTCTAAGCTAACGTCCCTTGCCAGTCTTCCTCTTTTTGCTGAGGAAGATTAGCCCTGAGCTAACATCCATGCCCAGCTTCCTCTGTTTTGTATATGGGATGCTGCCACAGCATGGCTTGATGTGTGGTGGTGTGTAGGTCTGTGCCCAGGATTTGAACCTGTGAACCCCAGGTTGCCGAAGCAGAGCATGCAAACTGAATCACTACGCCACCACCGGACTGGCCCCAAGTTATATGTTTTGTGAGAAAAAAAAATCAAGACTTTTTATTCATTGCTTTAGAAATTATGAATAGGGAAAATAAATTATTTTAAATGAAGCAAATAATATGCTTTATATTATAAACAATTAAAATGGGATGGCATTACAAACAAATCTGAGATTAAACGATTCTATGAACTAAATACAGAAAGATGAGGGAGGAGAGATGAAGAGAGTGAAAAAAGAGATAGAAAAGTAAAAAGGAGGAGCTGTAAAGAAACACCTTCTCCCCAACACATCAACTAATACGGAGCTGAGACACAGAGACATAAAGGGGGAAGAAAACATACCTAGATCGTGGTTTCCCCCATCCAGAAGGCTTCTTGCCGGTCTTGTTCCATAACGTAGTCTAATATCTGTGTCTGAATGTCTAGTGACCTTTTAGTGTTCTTCTTCCAAAGACTTTTTAAGTTATCCTGTTTTCCTAACTAGACTGAACTGACATGAGAATCACTGGTCATGTGCCTGCTTTACTTTATGGCTTGAGTTGGATTAAAACTTTGGTTAATAAAAAACTTTCAGTTCTATAGTTCCTCTTCTGAATCTTGATCATAAATTTCCTGAGGCTGTCTCTTAATATTGATTACCAAATCAATGGTTAAAATTTTTGTCAAACACTGAAGAACTGAAGTTAGTAACTGGTATTTACCAACTACTGATTCCAAACCTGTCTGACTGCTTACCATGGGTTGACTGGTTTGTAGTGCATGGAGAGCTTTCATATATATTTGTGGGAAGCTGTAATTTCCTTTCTTAGACTTATACAGGATTTTGGGAATGCCTAAAAGTGCATTAGCTATTATCATACTAACCATGGTTTCTTCTGATTGCTGGCATATTTTGGCATAGTTGAGAAGATAGTAATGTAACAAGATCTCAAAATTACCACCCACTGGCAAAACACACCCTGCTGGTATAGATGAGAAACAGTAACTCTGGGAAGTACATATCTCCAGTGACTTATATCTCACTGGTAACATGCTCCCCTTGCCAGCAGTTTTTGTGACCTGTAAATTTTCATAAGAAATTTCTATTCTAGTATTTTCTGTTGTTGAATTAGCAGAATTACTCTCGGTAAATGACTCATGATTATCAATTATCCCAGTTTTGTTTGGAGAGAAACATCTCAATGTTTCATCTGTCTGGTATGTATCCGTTGGTGTCACTTTTGGTGTTGAACATAGAATACGTGTTTCTAATTCTACACTTGGAACTACCAAATTTGAATATACTTTTAAATATGTTTGAGTTTTTGCCAGTTCATCTCTGTTCTTAACAATAGTGCCCTGATGTGGGCTTTGTATTGAGCCATTAACAACTTCTGGTAACTGATTACTTTCTCTACTATTCTTATAAATAAGAGGACTTGAGGTATAATTTTGGTCACTGGTTTGTGTCACGTAATTTAGATCCAGGTCTTTAAATAACTGCCGAAGCATTTTAAATGCTCCATATAAAGCATCTTTATGTTGTTCAACAAGACCCTGCACTGGTCCACAGAGAACTAGACAGTGTGGTATAAAGGAACATGTGCTAATCAAGCCAAGATGAACATACCTTTTAGCTCTCAGGACAAGGGGCTTACAAAATTTCACCAAAGCAGTGTTAGAGATTTCAAACTGTGAAGAGGCCTGTGGGAGTACAAAGGGAGAAAGACCAATGACCCTCTGGATAAGGGAAACTTCTCCAGATGATAAACACTCCACCACCGATATGCCCTTCAGTCTTGCACAGAAAATCACTAAGTCTGGTTGTTTCACACTAGATAGGAGCAATTTTACATTCTGACTCTCTAAATATTTCATCATTGCTTTTGTCCTTTCCATAATCCAAAACTGAGATGCCTGAAACTGTGCTTCTGAATTTAGAATAAACTCTGATCCAGAAGTTGAAAAAGCAGGCTGAACGGTTTCTGTGACTATCACTGTTCTTATGTCACCATCTGCTGGACAGTACACAGAAAAGTCTCTGTGAAGCACAAGCCCAGCCATGATCCTGGAATCTGAAACAGGAAGGCCTGTAACACCAACGTTCAACTCTACAAAACAGTCATCCACTAACTCAAATACTTCTTCAAACCCACTTTCACAAGCCATACACTTGAAAAAGTAGTCACACATCAATTGCGAAATAAAGTTGTGATTATTTCTTCCCACTCTTCCACAAAAGTATGCTTCTAAGAGCAACTCTAAAGAGTTCCTACACAATGTTCTCTCTTTAGTGGATGAAGAAAAGATGGACAAAAAGTGTCTACTTAAGTATTGGTCCATAACATAGTCTAATACTTGTGTCTGAAACGTCACAAGAGCTTGGGAAATAAATTTCCACTGACAACAATTTTTCCAATGTCTTCCATGGGTTTGAATATTTTCGGAAATCAAAGAATCCTTTCTTTTGTCTGTGACTGCATGAAGTCCTCTGAGTAAATGGCAAAGAAAGATAACAAATGTTTTAGCACCATCTCCTGTTTTTCTTAGATGACTGGAAACACATGCCACCATCATCCTGTACAGAAAAGAAATAAAGCAACTCAGATATTCAGAGGGTTGCCTTCCTACATCTGAATCAAGCTGAGACCATGTTTTCACAGCAATAGGCATAAAATGAGAATACTGTTCCTTTGATGTCCTGAGTTTTAGTTTTGCTTTTTTCAAGTTACTTCGTTCTATTTCAAGGTTCTAGGGTTGGGTGGAGCAGGGAGGAGAGGAGTGAGAAATGTTCTTGGGAGTTGATAAGATTTGATGTCCGGGAGAGTGTTCCTGTGGGCAGCGCTCTAAACCGGTGAGTACACTGGTCTCAACCAAGGGCAGTTTTCCCGGGAGCACAGCCTCAGGGACAAGCTCAGGGAGATGCATGGGGCGTCCGTCTACAGGCTGGAGTGCGGGACGCTCTAACGGGCGGAGTGCGGGACGCGGGGACCTGGCTGCGGGTCGCTCTAACGGGCGGAGTGCGGGACGCGGGGACCCGGCTATGGGATGCTCTAACGGGCGGAGTGCGGGACGCGGGTACCTGGCTATGGGATGCTCTAACGGGCGGAGTGCGGGACGCGGGTACCTGGCTATGGGATGCTCTAAGTGTAGCGCTTGCAGGAGGCGGCCTCCATCCCGGCTGAGCAGCACCTCGCCGGTGGGCTTCGTACACAAAACTTGCCGCCCCTCGGGCCCCACGCAGCCGCTCACGATGGTTTCCAGCACTTCCGCCACCTCCAACGCCGCCTTCACAGACACCGGGCCGGCCATAGCCCTTCGGCTTCCAGCGGCTTCTAATTACCGCTTGCAGAACAGCAGGACGGCCGGGAGGGGGCAGGCCGGGGCCCGGCCGGAAGCGGAAGGGGCGGAGAGGAGGCCGGAAGCCGGGGCAGCTCGGGTTTTGGGTTGGGCGGGGGGGCTGCTCTTCCGGCCGCTCTGGCGGCTGGGCCCCGGGTCCGCGCGCTCGCGGAGCAGGAGGGCAGGACTTCCGGCGCTGTCCCTGCAGTGGAGACCGCAGGCGCCTCCTCAGCTCTCATTCCCCTCCCTTGGCTTCGGCGGCCGCCATATCCTTCGTCGCCCGGGACGGATGTGGAGCCTCTGGACGGAGGAGGGGAGGGCCCGCGGGCAGCGCGGCTCGTTCCCCGCCCGCAGCTGCTCGAGGCGCCGTAGCACAGCCTGCCGTGTGCTCACGCGCGGGCCGTCCCCGCGCTGTCGGGGGGCCCCTCCCGTCACGGAGGCGGTCCCGGGACGTGGGACCGGGGAGGCCCGCCGGGTCGCAGCTGCGGCTGTCTGCTTTCCGCGGGGCTGCGCCGTGTTTCCTGGGCTCGGGCGTCACAGTGAAACCCCAGCCACCACGGTTTTCTTCTTTAGCAGAGGTGACAGAGGGTAAGACTTAGTCACATGGCCAGGGTGATTGGAAGCAATCCAACCGCACAAAACAACATACTGGTAGGCACAAAGAACATGCTGTTTCTTATATGAAAACACACACACACAGGGCCCGCCCGCGGTAGAGGTTAAGTTCATGCGCTCCAATGCGCAGGCCGGGCCGGGTTCGTGGTTCGGATCCTGGGCGCAGACCTAGCCGGGCCCTGGCAGCGTCCCATGTAAAGTAGAGGAAGATGTGCATGATGTGAGCCCAGAGCTAATCTTTCTCAGCAAAGCGGAGGAGTGCCAACGGATGTTAGCCCAGGGCTAATCTTCCCCTGCGCCCCGCCCCCAAAAAACACACACGCTGTCTCCCAAGGATGAAATAGTTAACATGGACTTAAGATTTAGACCTGGGTTTGCTGGGCCATTTACTTATCTGTGACATTCAGCAAGTAACCTCTTTCGTCTCTACTTTTCTCATCTTAAAAAATGGAGATAGATATGTAAAAGACAAACCTCATAAGGTTTTGAGGAGGGTGAGAATGTTTACAGCATGCTTTTTCTGCATGGTGCCTGGCACATACCAAGCACTCAACAGTCGAATATTTACAGCACACCCATCAAACTACTGTGACGTCCCTACTGTACAGGCCCACTATCTCCACAAGAAAGGGATATTTTCTAAGGTGCAGAAGAGTCAATTAGCATAACAGCACAACACAGGACACCTATTAGAATGTAGTCAATATTCGTGAGAAAATCATTTATCTTGTAGATGTTTCATTGAGGTTGAACGGTGAGAGGCTGTTGTCCTTACCCCCGATTCCCCTGCGCAGGGCAGGAGAAACCTGTAAGCCCTCCCCTATTGTAAGCAACTGGGTCCTGAGGAGAAAGCAAGAATGGGAGAGGAGGAGAAGAGGAAAACCAGAAAGGAATGTTTTTCTTGGATTCATCTGATGTTGACTCAGTATCGACTAATAGGTGATTTGAGGGGAAAAAACTTTTTCATATGGGTTTTATATATATGCTTGTTTAATAGTAACGTTCGTTTTTTTCTGGTTCTACCCATCACAAAGGGGTTACATTACTCAATATAGATTTGAGTAGTGGATTATTCCAAACGCTTAATACGATCAGAGTTCTATTTACATGTACAGTGGAAAGAATGGACACTGAAGTCAGACATGGATTAAACTTGTGCTCACTCTCTTAATATGTAGCTTCTGGAATCACTTAACTTCTCTGAGTCTCTGAGCCTCAGATTCTTCATCTATAAAATCGGGCTAACTTCCACTTAAGGTTCTTATGAGTCCTCAAGAAGAATGAATATAAAGCACCAAGTAAAGCATACCTTAGGGATTCTAACTGTTAAATCCCTTTCAAGCCCTGCACAATCACAACTACCCCCACAAATTTTTTTTTTAATTATAATATTAAGAAATTTAGTCACCATATGTTGTATTCAAAGTCATTTGATCACAATTTGCTCTTTTTTTAAAATTTTATTTAGAATGCCTACTTGTAGAAGTTAGCATAATTTTACAGGCTGTTAGAAAAATTCAATTCTTTTATCTCTGCAAACATTTATAATAGGTTAGGAATAATAGATTAGAAATGTAATACATTACAAAACAGTAGCCTATGACTATCTGTACATTTAACTATAAACCTTAATGAAAAGAATTCAACAGTGTGCTATACTTACACTGCAGATAACATACTTTTATTCTATTATACAAAACTGGCCAGTGGTAGTTTTTGAATTTATAAGTGACCATTAAACAGGATATTTAACTTAGATGTATATATAGCATGCTAAAAAATGAAAAAATTTTCAACTGAAGTTCTGTGGCTCATCAGTTCAAATGTTTCGTGGCATTTTTCTTTAAATAAATTTATTGTAATACTAAAATAATTTCACATGATAAATGCAGAAATAAAATTTTCTTAATATTTTAGAAAGTATATTCACATTCATTTTGTCATGGGTTTCTTGTGGCTCTTCTAAAGATGATAATCATATTAAGGAGACACTGGTCCTATCCAATTTTAACAGTCCATCTTCAATTAAAAACAAAACAGTATGTTAAGAGTAACAAAAATTAAATATACTAAATTCACATAATAGGTAAGCAAAATGAAACCAAATTACATAATAGTGGCAGGTTATACATTTTAAAGAATCTCTATTTCCATGTAGTCAAGATAGAAGTTGAAATGTAAACATAGTGATTTGTGTGGAGTTCCCCCCCACACTGGTTCAAATTGGAAAGTTTGGTATAAATGCTAATTTTAGTATTGTGTTTCTGTACATTTAACATAATTCAGAATAATCTGCAGCATCATGAATGGCTCATCAATAATGCCATCATCCCTGTCAAACAAAAAAAACAAAAATGTATTCATTGCTCACTAGAAATGCTAAACACTGGAAAAAGTGGAATTTTATTCATTTGTTTTCTTAAATATTTGACTAAGATATTCTTCAAAAAGTTAAAATTGCCTTCCACAGAATTTTGTGTATATGGCACAAGTTGACACCCAAAACAATGTGAATTCCATCAAAAAGGCACTGTTTACAATACTCAGAATACTCTCACAAGTCTATTTCAATGACGTCTGAGAGTGAAGAATTATATTTGAAATAGGTAAACAGACAAACCTTATAAAAGTACAGCATTAAGTTTAAATATACTATAACTATATAAAAGGAAATAAAATGACACAGAGAAATGACCCTTTCATGACAATTAAGCCTATAAACACTTTGAATCATATTATAGTTCTGTAACACAAAAATGACAAAAAGTATTTTCTTAAAGGCACAAAAGCATGAATACTAAATGAGGGTTGTATTTTACAAGGCTGACTTTTTCAATGGAATGGTGACAAAGATTACACTATACCTTTATAAGTGATACATAAAAGTACTGACATGAAATACAAGTAAAATATCTATTGCTGAAACTTACTTATTTCATATGCCCTATTTATCATCTTTTCCTGGGCAAGCTACATCTCACTAAATGGTGGATAACTGAAGGCATAGTACATATTTAACAATTAAAACAGAAATGCACATGTCAATAATTATTACCCAAATTTTCATGTGAAAAAATAAAATTTTTGATCAAATGAAAAAAACTGGTCTTAAGGTCTTACATCCTAGAAAACATCATGAGGCTCTCAGACAACTGTTAACTGTAAATCACAATTTTTATGAATCCATGTGTGAAGGAAGATTCATCTCAGAGAACATTCAAAGTCAATTACATATGTGGCTAAATACAAAATTACATGTTTTAAAGGATTCACATATTAAGCCTAGTATAAGCATAAGCACTGATCTAAAACTAAGCCACCAATTCCTGAGTTTTGTGTTCAGTTCACAGAAAGGAACTCATACAACTAAAAGCATAAGAAGACTGTTATTTTAGATAGATGCTTTTAGTGTATAAGAAACAGTCATGAGTAACCATGCTCTGTCTCATGAAATAGGTTTTGATTCCTTAGTTAATAAGAACCCATCACATCTGCCCTAAAAAGAAAATAAAAAAATAAAATAACTACCTTTCCAGTCTTAGAAAATACTCATACAATAAAACACTATTTAGACCAAATGACAATAACCCACAAGTGGATAAGACTAAAACCCCAAACGGGGGTTACCAACAAAAAATTTTAAGTTTTCAGGGTTTAATGATAAAATAATTTTTATGATCAGCCAATCAAGTTATATATAATATAAATTAATACTAATTTAAACCATAAAAAAGATCAAATTGTACAATATTTACAAAATATATCAATGAATAGGCAGTTGAGAATAACATTGGTAACAGAAAGTGAGTATAAAAATTATATCGACAAGTATGAAATACAAACAAAAAAATCCCATCTGTTCTAGTGTAGTCATATTATATCTATACTTACACTGGGTATAGGTACATCTTATTTATGTTGTAATCAATTTAAAAAATGTTTTTACATTTACATGTGGAATACATATTGTTCTGCCAAAAATATATGGTAAATGGTTCCTCATAAAACCTAAGGATACTCAAGATAGCTATATTGGTTAGGGGGAAAAAAGCAGATTCTTTTATCATTTTCAATTTTCATAATTTAATAGTCATTCCTTGATTTTATATTTATCATGGCATAAACAGCTGACTGCAATTTTACTAGTGTCTCAGTATCTTTTTAGTCAAAGGCAAATGTAAAGTAATTATTCTCTCTGACCTTCATTTTCATTAATAACCACTTCAAATTCTATACTTTCAGGATTCTAAGGTATATCTTAGGACATGTTCCTAAGCTAAACTATATTTGCAAAAATTGCTCTTGAGGACTATAAATATTTATGTAAAAACATAAAGTAAAAATATTTAACTGAAAAA